TAATGATTGCCATTCTAACTGGTGTGAGATGGCATCTCAGTGTGGTTTTGATTTGCATTTCTCTAATGACCAGTGATAATGAGCATTTTTTCATATGTTTGTGGCTGCATAAATGTCTTCTTTTGAAAAGTGTCTGTTCATATCATTAGCCCACATTTTGATGGGGTTCTTTTTTTTTCTTGTAAATTTGTTTAAGTTCTTTGTAGATTCTGGATATTAGCCCTTCGTCAGATGGGTAGATTACCAAAGTTTTATCCCATTCTGATGGTTGCCATTTCACTCTAATGATTGTTTCTTTTGCTGTGCAGAAGTTCCTAAGTTTAATTAGATCCCAGTTGTCTATTTTGGCTTTTGTTGCTATTGCTTTTGGTGTTTTAGTCATGAAGTCCTTGCCTGTGCCTACGTCCTCAATGGTACTGCCTAGGTTTCCTTCTAGGGTTTTTATGGTGTTAGGTCTTATGTTTAAATCTTTAATCCATCTGGAGTTTATTTTTGTATAATGTGGAAGGAAGGGGTCCAGTTTCAGCTTTCTTCACATGGCTAGCCAGTTTTCCCAACACCATTTATTAAACAGGGAATCCTTTCCCCATTGCTTGTTTTTGTCAGTTTGTCAAAGATCAGATGGTTGAATATGTGTGGTATTGACTCCGAGACCTCTGTTCTGTTCCATTGGTCTATATCTCTGTTTTGGTACCAGCACCATGCTGTTTTGATTACTGTAGGCTTGTAGTATAGTTTGAAGTCAGGTAGTGTGATGCCTCCAGCTTTGTTCTTTTTGCTTAGGATTGTCTTGGCCATGCGGGCTCTCTTTTGGTTCCATGTGAAGTTTAAGGTGGTTTTTTCCATTTCTGTGAAGAAGGTCACTGGTAGCTTGATGGAGATAGCATTGAATTTATAAATTACTTTGGGCAGTATGGCCATTTTCATGATACTGATTCTTCCTAACCATGAACATGGAATGTTTCTCCAACTGTTTGTGTCCTCTCTGATTTCCTTGAGCAGTGGTTTGTAGTTCTCCTTCAAGAGGTCCTTTGCATCCCTTGTTAGTTGTATTCCTAGGTATTTTATTCTCTTTGTAGCAATTGTGAATGGGAGTTCGCTCATGATTTGGCTCTCTGTTTGTTATTGGTGTATAGGAATGCTTGTGATTTTTGCACATTGATTTTGTATCCTGAGACTTTGCTGAAATTGCTTATCATCTTATGAAGATTTTGGGCTGAGATGATGGCGTCTTTTAAATATGCAATCATGTCATCTGTAAATAGAGACAGTTTTACTTCCTCTTTTCCTAATTGAATATGCTTTATTTCTTTTTCTTACCTGATTGCTGTGGCCAGAACTTCCAATGCTATATTGAATAGGTGTGGTGAGAGATGGCATCCATGGCTAGTGCCAGATTTCAAAGGGAATGCTTTCAGTTTTTGCCCATTCAGTATGATATTGACTGTGAGTTTGTCGTAAATAGCTTTTGTTATTTTGAGATACATTCCGTCGATACCTAGTTTATTGAGAGTTTTTAGCATAAGGGGCTGTTGAATTTTTTCAAAGGCCTTCTTTGCATCTATTGAGATAATGTTGTGGTTTTTGTCTTTGGTTCTGTTTATGTTATGGATTACGTTTATAGATTTGCGTATGTTGAACCAGCCTTGTATCCGTGGGATAAAGCCGACTTGATTGTGATGGATAAGCTTTTTGATTTACTGTTGGATTCAGTTTACCTGTATTTTGTTGAAGATTTTCGCATCAGTGTTCATCATGGATATTGACCTGAAATTTTCTTTTTTAGTTGTGTCTCTGCCACATTTTGGTATCAGGATGATGTTGATCTCATAAAATGAGTTAGGGAGGATTCCCTTTTTTTGTATTGTTTGGAATAGTTTCAGAAGGAATGGTACCAGCTCCTCTTTGTATGTTTGGTAGAATTTGGCTGTGAACTCCTCTGGTCCTGGACTTTTTTTTGATTGGTAGGTTATTAATTGCTGCTTCAATTCCAGATCTTGTTAATGGTCTATTTAGGGATTGAACTTCTTCCTGGTTTAGTCTTGGGAGAGTGTAAGTGTCCAGGGATTTATCCATTTCTTGTAGATTTACTGGTTTATGTGCATAGAGGTGTTTGTAGTAATCTCTGATGGTAGTTTGTATTTCTGTGGAATTATTGGTATTATCCCCTTTATCATTTTTTATTGCATCTATTTGATTCTTCTCTCTCTTCTTTTTTATTATTCTGGCTAGTGGTCTATCTATTCTGTTGATCTTTTCAAAAAACCAGCTCCTGGATTCATTGGTTTATTGAAGGGTTTTTTTGTGTCTCTGTCTCCTTCAGTTCTGCTCTGATCTTAGTTATTTCTTGTCTTCTGCTAGCTTTTGTATTTGTTTGCTCTTGTTCCTCTAGTTCTTTTAATTTTAACATTAGGGTGTTGATTTTACATCTTTCCTCACTTCTCAAGTGGTCATTTAATGCTATAACTTTCCCCGTAGACACACTTTAAATGTGTCCCAGAGATTTTGGTATGTGTCTTTGTTCTCACTGGTTTTGAAGAACATCTTTATTTCTGCCTTCATTTCATTATTTATCCAGTAGTCATTCAGGAGCAGATTGTTCAGTTTCCATTGTTCAGTAGCTGTATGGTTTTGAGTAAGTTTCTTAATCCCAATTTGATTGCCCTGTGGTCTGAGAGACTATTACCCACCTTTTGCATTTGCTGAGGAGTGATTTACATCCAATTATGTGGTCAATTTTAGAGTAAGTGTGATGTGGTGCTGAGAAGAATATATATTCTGTGGATTTGGGGTGAAGAGTTCTGTACATGTCTGTTAGGTCTGCTTGGTCCAGATCTGAGTTCAGGTCCTGGATATCCTTGTTAATTTTCTGTCTCGTTGATGTGTCTAATGATAATGGAGTGTTAAAGTCTCCCACTATTATTGTGTGGGAGTCTAAGTCTCTCTGTAGGTCATGAAGAACTTGCTTTATACATCTGGGTGCTCCTGTATTGGGTGCATATATATTTAGGATAGTTAGCTCTTCTTGTTACATTGATCCCTTTACCATTATGTAATGCCCTTCTTTGTCTCTTTTGATCTTTGTTGGTTTGAAGTCTGTTTTATCAGAGACTAGGATTGCAACCTCTGCTTTTCTTTAGTCTCCATGTGCTTGGTAAATCTTCCTCCATCCCTTTATTTTAAGCCTATGTGTGTCTTTGCACGTGAGATGCGTCTCCTGAATACAGCACACCAATGGGTCTTGACTTTTTATCCAATTTGCCATTCTTTTGATTGGGACATTTAGGCCATTTACATTTTAGGTTAATATTGTTATGTGTGAGTTTGATCCTGCCATTTTGATACTGGTAGGTGGTTTTGCCTGTTAGTTGAAGCAGTTTCTTTATTGTTTCAATGGTCTTTACCATTTGGTATGTTTTTACAGTGGCTGGCACTGGTTGTTCCTTTCCATGTTTAGTGCTTCCTTCTGGAGCTTGTATAAGGCAGGCTTGGTGGTGACAAAAATCTCTCAGCATTTGCTTGTCTGTAAAGGATTTTATTTTTCCTTCACTTATGAAGATTAGTTTGGCTGGATATGAAATTCTAGGTTGAAAGTTCTTTTCTTTAAGGATATTGAATATTGGCCCCCACCCTCTTCTGGTTTGTAGGGTTTCTGCCGAGAGACCCGCTGTGAGTCTGATGGGCTTCCCTTTGTGGGTAACCTGATCTTTCTCTCCAGCTGCCCTTCGCATTTTTTCCCTCATTTCAACCCTGGTGAATCTGATGGTTTTGTGCCTTGGGGTTGCTCTTCCTGAGGAATATCTTTGTGGTGTTCTCTGTATTTCCTGAAATTGCATATTGGCCTGCCTTGCTAGGTTGGGAAAGTTCTTCTTGATAATATCCTGAAGAGTGTTTTCCAACTTGGTTTCATTCTCCCCATCACATTCAGGTACACTGATCAAATGTAGATTTGGTCTTTTCACATAATCTCATATTTCTTGGAGGCTTTGTTCATTTCTTTTCACTCTTTTTTTCTCTATTCTTGCCTTCTCATTTTATTTCATTGAGTTGATCTTCAGTCTCTGATATCCTTTCTTCTGCTTGACGGATTCAGCTATTGAAACTTGCATATGCTTCACAAAGTTCTTGTGTTGTGTTTCTCAGCTCCGTAAAGTCGTTTATGTTCTTCTCTAAGCTGGCTATTCTAGTTAGCATTTTGTCTAACCTTTTTTCAAGGTTTTAGCTTCTTTGCATTAGGTTAGAACATACTTCTTTAGCTTAGAGAAGTTTGTTATTACCCACCTTCTGAAGCCTGTTTCTGTCAGTTCATCAAACTCATTCTTCCTTCAGTTTTGTTCCCTTGCTGGTGAGGGGTTGTGATCCCTTGGAGGAGAAGAGGTTTTCTGGTTTTTGGTGTTTTCAGCCCTTTTGTGTTGGTTTCTTCCCATCTTCATGGATTTATCTACCTTTGGTCTTTGAAGTTGGTGACTTTCAGATGGGGTCTCTTGAGTGGATGTCGTTTTTGTTGATGCTGAAGTTATTTCTTTTTGTTTTTAAGTTTTCCTTCTAATGGTTAGGCCCCTCTGCTACAGGACTGCTGGAGGTCCACTCCCGACCCTGCTCGCCTGGAATCACCCGTGGGGGCTGCAGAACAGAAAGGATTGCTCCCTATTCCTTTTTTTTGGCTTCGACCCAAAAGGGTACCCACCAGATGTCAGCCAGAGCTCTCCTGTATGAAGTGTCTCTTAGGATAAATGGCTGTCAGGGAGCCACTTGAGGTGGCAGTTTGTCCCTTATCAGAGGTCAAGTGCTGTGCTGGGAGCTCCGTTGCTCCCTTCAGAACTTCTGGGCAGGGACATTTAAGTCTGCTGAAGTGGAACTCACAACTGCCCTTTTTCCCAGTTGCTCTGTCCTGGGAAGGAGGGGCTTTATTTATAAGTTCCTGATGGGCTGCTGCCTTTTTTCAGCGATGCCCTTCCCAGCAAGGAGGGAGTCTAGTCACAGTCCGCCTGTAAAGGCCTTGCTGAGCTGCTGTGGGCTCCGCTCATCTGCTATGTAAACTTCCTTATGGTTTTGCTTACACAGGCATGGTTAGAGCTGCCTCGGTAATGGCGACTGCCTCGGTAATGGCGGACGCCTTTCCCCCCACCAAGCTGGACTGTTGCAGGTCAGGCTCAAACTGTTGTGCTGGCAGTGAAAATCTTGAGCCAGTGGGTTTCAGCTTGCTGGTCTTTGTGGGGGTGGGACCCGCCGAGCCATATCACTGCTCCCTACCTTCAGCCCGCCTTTTTTAGGGAAATGGGCCGTTCTGTCTTGCAGGTGTTCCAGGCGTGAGGTAAAATGGTGGCCCAGCATGCTGCTGGAAACCCACACGGCACTGGTGGGAATCTCCTGTGTGGACTGTAAAGACCATGGGAAAAGCGCACTATATGAGCTGGAGTGCCAGAGTGTCCAGCGAAGTCCCTGATGGCCTCCCTTGGGTAGGATAGGGAGTCTTTCAGTCCCTTGCACTTCATGGGTGAGGCAACACCCCACCCTGCCTCGGTTTGCCTTCCTTGGGCTACACTCACTGTCCAACGAGTCCCATTGAGATGAACCTGGTACCTCAGTTGGAAATGTGAAGATCACTCGCCTTTGCGTTGCTCTTGCTGGGAACTGTGCTCCAGAGCTGATCCTATTCGGCCATCTTATTTTGATATGATTTACAGCTTACCTTCTCACTGAAAGTGTTTCTAAACCTCTAACATGTGTTTCTTTAGCTTAACAGAAATCTTCCTCACTAATTGTACTTGAACTTTTGAAATAAGTTATTACGACTAAAAGTTAATGAAAACAATTGTAATTTTGGAATGTGCTTTTTACCTTCACATGCCATTGTAGGCATTTTGGGTGATGTCCCTCTCTGGACGATTGAGAACATTGCTTCCTGAGTTAGGCACTGTGGAGAGAGAGTGAACCCTTACTGTCCTTGGTTGTCTTTGTTTTCAGATGGGATAACTGCAATCCAGGGAGGTTAAGTGACTTCCCCAAGGACACACAGGCAGTTAATGATAATGTGAGGTCACTCAGTTCTGGTTTCCTCTCCAGTGCCCTTTGAAGTGCCATTTTTCTTCACACTTCATTCATTCAGATTGCTATACTACTTAGATTTTCTTCTCTCTCCTGACAGCATACTGCATTAAAACCATTATTCATGAAATAGGTACCCTTGGTAATTGTATGCATGGGAACATTATCATATTTTCCCAAGGAAGAACTTGCACTGAGGTCACATGTATCTAAAAGTACACTGGTCTCGAAGTTAAGCTTTTTCTTCAGTAGTTTTGTGTTCAATTAAATACACAAGAAGAACCAGCTACAGCTTTGATTTATAGCAGGGCCTTTCATTTGAATGATAAGTACACCCATGATAGGCTTCCTTGGTCCTGTTCCAGAATTGTCTATTTTATCTTTTGCAGCAGCTTTAGAATATATCCTCATTTCAGAGAATGGTAATTTACTTCTTGTTAACTCCCAGCCCATTAAGATTAAAAGATACTTCCTTAGGGGTTATGGCCTTTATTCTTGCCAAGATGGGTTAGCCTGCTAAGTGTTCTACTCAAGCATAGTGATTCATTCATTGAATGTACTATTGAACACTTAAGTATCTTTAAAAGGACTAACCCAGGTGACTTACACTTCACTACATATAGAACTGCTCTTCCAATTCAATTTTTATTTTATCACCTTTAATTGAGACATTAAAATGTCTATTAGTTTTATATATATTTCTGTATACATTTAACTCAGAGAAAGGGCAGAATTTTTAAGAGGAGTGGAGTTGGAGTTAGAAAAAATAAGTTCTTTTTTTTAGTTCATTCCTCTGAACCTTAAATTTCAAGCTGGCTTAAATGCTGCCTCCTCCAAAACTCTTTTAAATTTCTTAGCCATATTTACACACTTCTTCCTTTGTTTTCTCCCTATGTTTTGACACCTCAGTATACCTTTTGTTATTGGATTTGCTTTATTATATCCCATATGTATAATTTAAAAGGTTTCTTTTTTTTGCTTTATGAATTGCAGGGATTAGGAGTCCAGCATTTAACAGGGAATCCCTTTTCATTTACACCACTTTATAAAAGGTTAGGAAGCTTCTCTCCTTATTAAGCTTATGGCTTCATGTAACTTTCACCTGATGGTCCTTTAGAAAAACTTAAAAATAGTCTTCAAACATTTTCCTTGGTGTGTTTGTGCTTGCTGTGGTACCCTGATGAAGCTGAGATACCATCTTTTTCTTCAGTAACTTAAATATCTTTTTAAAAGTACACCTGAGAATTGTATATTCAGTGAATGACTGAGAGTACTGCAAAGAAATGCAGATATAATAGCACGTGATCCATCAATGTTTATCTTTTATGCTAATCGTCATCTACAAACAAGACTTGTGTTGATTATTATCCCTAAATAAACAAGCAGAGTAAGCTGATTTACTATTGGATGACGTAGGCAGCAAGCTATGAGATGGAAATTGAACAGAAACAAAAAAATGTCTTCTTAACTGTTCATGTCATTACTTTGGATTAAAGCAGTGAAATCCACTGTAAAAATTTAAGTGTTCTTTGGGTATAGTGACACAGGGAACCAGAATCACTTGTAAGAAGACCTGTGATTAATTAAAAAACTGGGAAAGAAATTTTGATTTTAGTAAGAGTTTTGTGTTTGTATATGTGTGCATGTGTGTGTTGTATCCATTTATATACAACACACACATGCACACATATACAAATGTATCCATTTATATACAGCACACACATGCAGTGTATATGCATGTGTTGTATATAAAGTGGATCATGATGTTTTTCTTACTGTAGGTTCTAACATGTTTGAAAGACACTGATTTAGGCTTCCGTTTCTCAGAAGGGCATGCATCTCTTATAGACCCTATTGGGTAAATTTTCTTCAACTATTAATTTTACTTAAACATTTTGACAGAAACAAACCAGAAAAACAAACATACAAACATACAAAATGCATTATTTTTATAACAAATATAATCACAAAGGTAGTATATAGGAGATAAATAAAATTCACAAATTTTAAGGATAAAAATTAGTTGGGCATGTTGGTGGGCGCTTGTAATTCCAGCTAGTCAGGAGGCTGAGGCAGGAGAATTGCCTGAACCTGGGAGGTGGAGGTTGCAGGGAGCCAAGATTGCACCATTGGACTCTAGCCTGGGCAACAGTGAGAGACTCTGTCTAAAAAAAAAAAAGAAAAAATTTAAAGGTAAAACACAATATATTTAAGCAAAAACTTTGGCTCTCTGGGCAGGCCTTCAGACAGACCCTCCAGGGATTTTAACTTTCTCTGCAGCTACCTTAGTAACAAATTTGAGAAGTGCTGGTCATTTGGTGGAATTTCAAACGCATGATACACATGAGAGAGGAAATTTTTTGTGTTAAATCTTTTTTAATGTGCTATTTTTAGTTCCTCTTTTGGTTTTTAAAGTATGTTTTAAATTATTTTAGTGGTTTCTGGAGGGATTGCTTCTTTTATGTAGTACAGTCTGTTTTAGATTAGTATTCACTTGATTCTAGTAAAATATAGCAACTTTGCTTCTGTATAATTCCGTTCTCCCTTCTCCATTTGTTATTATTGTCATATAAGTTACATCTGTATGTACTATAAATCGAACAAACAACATTATAATTATTGCTTTAAGAACTATTATGTTTTTAAAGAATCGAAGAAAAGAGAAAAAAATCTTTTGTGTTTACCTTCCTATTTACCATTTCCATTGCTCTTCATTCTTTCCTGTGACTTTGAGTTACTATCCAGTATAATTTTATTTTGGCCCAAAGGACTTTCTTTAGTCTTTCGTAGACAGATCTGCCAGTAATTAATTCTCTCAGTTTTTGTTTATCTAGGAATGTCTTATTCTGCCTCTATTTTTGAAAGAGTTTTGCTGAATATAAAATTCTTAGTTGACAAATAAATATTTTTTCTTTCAGCATTTTCAGTGTTATTCTTCTGCCCTGTGGCCTCCATTGTTTCTGATGAGAAGTGAATAATTCATTGTATTTTTGTATTTCCCTGTTTATAATACATTATTTTTCTCTTTCAGCAGTTTGACTCTGATGTGTATAAATGTAGATTACTTTAGTTTTATCCTACATGGGATTTATTGAGCTTCCTCATTCTATACGTTAACTTTTTCATCAAATATGAGATTTTCAGCCATTATTTCTCAAAAAAAATTTTTTTTTCCTGCGACATTGCCTCTCTTCTCCTTCTAGGACTCTTATTCCATTTACAGTATATTGGTATTCTTGATAGTGTCCTACAAGTCACTTAGGCTCTCTTCATTTTTCTTCAATCTTTTTTTCTCTCTCTTTTTTTAATGTTGGATACTTTCTGTAGATTTGTGTTTAAGTACACTGCCTTTTTTCTTCCGTCATTTCAAACCCATTGCTGAGTCCATGTGATGCATTTTTTATTTCAGTAGTTGTACTTTTCAACTGTAGAGTTTGATATATATATATATATATATATACATATATATATATATATATGTATGTATATGTATTTTATTGTACTTTAGGATCTGGGGTACATGTGCAAAACATGCAGGATTGTTGCATAGGTGTATACATGGCAATGTGATTTGCTGCCTCCATCCCCCTGTCACCTATATCTGGCATTTCTTCCCATGTTATCCCTCCCCAACCTCCCTACCCCCCACTGTCCCTCTTCTATTCCCCCCCAACAGACACCAGTGTGTGATGCTCCCCTCCCTGTGTCCATGTGTTCTCATTGTTCAACATCTGCCTGTAAGTGAGAACATGTGGTGTTTGATTTTCTGTTCTTGTGTCAGTTTGCTGAGAATGATGGTTTCCAGATTCATCCATGCCCATACAAAGGATACAAACTCATCGTTTTTTATGGCTGCATAGTATTCCATGGTGTATATGTGCCACATTTTCCTTGTCCAGTCTGTCATTGGTGGGCATTTGGCTTGGTTCCAGGTCTTTGCTATTGTAAACAGTGCCGCAATGAACATGTGTGTGCATGTGTCTTTGTAATAGAATGATTTATAATCCGTTGGATATATACCCAGTAATAGGATTGCTGGGTCAAATGGAATTTCTATTTCTAGGTCCTTGAGGAATCGCCAGACTGTGTTCCACAATGGTTGAACTAATTTACACTCCCACCAACAGTGTAAAAGTGTTCCTATTTCTCCACATCCTCTCCAGCATCTGTTGTCTTCTGCTTTTTAAATGATTGCCATTCTAACTGGTGTGAGATGGTATCTCAATGTAGTTTTGATTTGCATTTCTCTAATGACTAGTAATGTTGAGCATTTTTTCATATATTTATTGGCTTCATAAATGTCTTCTTTTGAAAATGTCTGTTCGTATCCTTCACCCATTTTTGAATTGGTTTGTTTGTTTTTTTCTTGTAAATCTGTTTTAGTTCTTTGTAGATTCTGGATATTAGCCCTTCATCAGATGGGTAGATTGCAAAAATTTTTTCCCATTTTGTTGGTTGCTGGTTCATTCTTATGATTGTTTCTTTTGCTGTACCGAAGCTCTGGAGTTTAATTAGGTTCCATTTGTCTATTTTGGCTTTTGTTGCTATTGCTTTTGGTGTTATAGTCATGAAGTCCTTGCCTATGCCTATGTCCTGAATGGTTTTGCCTAGGTTCTCTTCTAGGGTTTTTGTGGTGTTAGGTCTTATGTTTAAATCTTTAATCCATCTGGAGTTAATTTTAATGTAAGGTGTAAGGAAGGGGTTCAGTTTCTGCTTTCTGCACATGGCTAGCCAGTTTTGTCAATGCCATTTATTAAACAGGAAATCCTTTCCCATTGCTTGTTTTTGTCAGTTTGTCAAAGATGAGATGGTTGCAGATGTGTGGCGTTGACTCCAAGGCCTCTGTTCTGTTCCATTGGTCTATATCTCTGTTTTGGTACCAGCACCATGCTGTTTTGATTACTGTAGCCTTGCAGTATAGTTTGAAGTCAGGTAGCGTGATGCCTCCAGCTTTGTTCTTTTTGCTTAGAATTGTCTTGGCTATGTGGGCTCTCTTTTGGTTCCATATAAAGTTTAAGGTGGTTTTTTCCATTTCTGTGAAGAAGGTCATTGGTAGCTTGATGGGGATAGCATTGAATCTATAAGCTACTTTGAGCAGTATGGCCATTTTCACGATATTGATTCTTCCTAACCATGAGCATGGAATGTTTCTCCATCTGTTTGTGTCCTCTCTTGTTTCCTTATGCAGTGGTTTGTAGTTCTCTTTGAAGAGGTCCTTCACATCCCTTGTTAATTGTATTCCTAGGTATTTTATTCTCTTTGTAGCAATTGTGAATGGGAGTTCGCTCACGATTTGGCTCTCTGTTAGTCTGCTATTGGTGTATAGGAATGCTTGTGATTTTTGCACATTGATTTCGTATCCTGAGACTTTGCTGAAGTTGCTTATCAGTTTAAGGAGATTTTGGGCTGAGACGATGGGGTCTTCTAAATATACAATGATGTCGTCTGCAAATAGAGACAATTTGACTTCCTCCTTTCCTAATTGAATACCCTTTATTTTTTTTGTTGTTGTTACCTAATTGCTCTGGCTAGAACTTCCAATACTATATTGAATAGGAGTGGTGAGAGAGGGCATCCTTGTCTAGTGCCAGATTTTGAAGGGAATACTTCCAGTTTTTGCCCATTCAGTATAATATTGGCTGTAGGTTTGTCATAAATAGCTTTTATTATTTTGAGATATGGTCCTTTGATACCTAGTTTATTGAGAGTTTTTAGCATAAAGGACTGTTGTATTTTTTCGAAGGCCTTCTCTGCATCTATTGAGATAATCATGTGGTTTTTGTCTTTGGTTCTGTTTATGTGGTGGATTAAGTTTATAGACTTGCGTATGTTGAACCAGCCTTGGGTCCCTGGGATGAAGCCTACCTGATTGTGATGGATAAGCTTTTTGATGTGCTGTTGCAATCGGTGAGTCAGTATTTTATTGGAGATTTTTGCATCTATGTTCATCATATTGGCCTGTAGTTTTCTTTTTCTGTTGAGACTCTGCCGGGTATTGGTATGATGTTGGTCTCATAAAATGATTCAGGGAGGATTCCCTCTTTTTGGATTGTTTGAAATAGTTTCAGAAGGAATGGTACCAGCTCCTCTTTGTGCATCTGGTAGAATTCACCTGTGAACCTGTGTGGCCCTGGGCTTTTTTTTGGTTGGTAGGCTATTAATTGCTGCCTCAACTTCAGCCCTTGTTAATGGTCTGTTCAAGGGTTCAACTTCTTCCTGGTTTAGGCTTGGGAGGGTGCAAGTGTCCAGGAATTTATCCATTTCTTCCAAGTTTACTGGTTTATGTGCATAAAGTTGTTTGTAGTAATCTCTGATGGTAGTTTGTATTTCTGTGGAATCGGTGATATCCCCTTTTTCATTTTTTATTGCATCTATTTGATTCTTTGCTCTTTTCTTTTTTATTAATCTGGCTAGTGGTCTATTTTGTTGATCTTTTCAAAAAACCAGCTCTTGGATTTATTGATTTTTTTTTTTGAAGGGTTTTTTGTGTCTCTATCTCTTTCAGTTCTGCTCTGATCTTAGTTATTTCTTGTCTTCTGTTAGCTTTTGAGTTTTTTTGATTTTGCTTCTCTAGCTCTTTCAATTTTGATGATAGGGTGTCAATTTTAGATCTTTTCTTGCTTCTCTGGTGGGCAATTTATTCCTATAAATTTCCCTCTGGACACGGTTATAAATGTGTCCCAGAGATTCTGGTATGTTGCATCTTTGTTCTCGTTGGTTTTGAAGAACATCTTTATTTCTGCCTTCATTTCATTGTCTATCCAGTCAACATTCAGGAGCCAGTGGGTCATTCTCCATGAAGTTGTGTGATTCTGAGTTAGTTTCTTGATTCTGAGTTCTAATTTGATTTCCCTGAAGTCTGAGAGTGTTTGTTACGATTTCTGTTCTTTTGCATTTGCTGAGGAGCGATTTATTTCCAATTATGTGGTCAGTTTTAGAGTAGTTGTGATGTGGTACCGAGAAGAATGTATATTCTGTGGATTTGGGATGGAGATTTCTGTAGATGTCTGTTAGGTCCGCTTGGTCCAGATCTGAGTTCAAGTCCTGGATATCTTTGTTAATCTTCTTTCTCATTGATCTGTCTAATACTGACAGTGGAGTATTAAAGTCTCCCACTGTAATTGTGTAGGAGTCTCAGTCTCTTTGTAGGTCATCAAGAACTGCTTTATGTATCTAGGTGCTCCTGTATTTGGGTGTGTGTATATTTAGGATCTTTAGCTCTTCTTGATGCATTGATCCTTTTACCATTATGTAATGCCCTTCTTTGTCTCTTTTGATCATTGTTGGTTTAAAGTCCATTTTATCAGAGACTGGGATTACAACTGCTCCTTTTCTTTGCCCTCCATTTGCTTGGTAAATCTTCCTCCAACCCTTTATTTTGAGTCTCTGTGTGTCCTTGCCCATGAGATGGGTTTCCTGAATACAGCACACCGATGGGTCTTGACTTTTTATCCAATTTGCCATTCTGTGTCTTTTGATTGGGGCATTTAGGCCATTTACATTTAAGGTTAATATTGTTATGTGTAAATTTGATCCTGCTGTTTTGATGCTAGCTGGATGTTTTGCCTGTTAGTTGACACATTTTCTTTATACTAAGTAAGGTGAGAAATGTAGTGTTGCAGTGAGATTCATGGCCTCATGAATAAACTCATTTTTCTGCTACTAAGGAGGAAAAGGAGAATGATGTCCAGGTGGGCAACCAGCAGCCTCTGCTGCACTCAGCTAAATGCAGGTTGTGGTTCAGTTGTTGTCATGGCCTGAGCTGAGGCTGGAGGTCCACATTGTGAAGGGTATTGTATGTCACACACCTGGGATTTGAACTTTATTCTGTAGGTGCTGGGAGTTAGTTATTGAAAGACTTTAAGAGGAGTGACATGACCAGTTCTATGTTTTGGAAAGGTTGTTCTGCTAGCAATAAGGAGAACAGGCGGGGCCAGATGAAGGCCAAAGAGACTAGGAGTGGGCTATCCATTGGGAATCTGATGGCTTCAAATGGATGAGAAATGATGACCACTTTCAGAAACTGAGAGGATGGAACAAGTTCTGACACATGCAGAATGTAGAGTCTCCAGGCCTTGGTGACTGGCCACTTGAGGCTGTTGAAGGACAGTCTGGCTTTGCCATTTGCATGTGATGCTCTTAACCCAGGCAAAGAATGCAGGAGAGAGAGCAGATGGGGGGAGTTGGGGTACAGATTGTGAATCCCATTTGAGGTGGCTCTGGGGCCTCCCAGAAATGTTGGTAGATGGCTAGTTGGTTGTATAGATCTGGTGGTCAGGACATAGGTGATACCGATTCAGGATTCGTCAGAGTGTGGTCTTTGGGTGAGCCCTGAGATTACAAACAGGGAGCTTAGTGGCTAGGGGATGAGGCCATGCCAAATGTGGATAGACAAAGATCAATTTGCCTTTTTC